GTGCTGAGTGCTGAGATTACAGACATGCAGCACCACGCCTGGCTCACCTATTTTATTTATATTTTATTATCAGATTATTATTATACTGGGGTTATATTGTGACATTTACAAAAGTGCTTACAATATATCTTAGTTAAATTCACTCTCATCTGACTATTTTATATTCTACTTCTTTTTTTTAAAACATTTTGAGTGTTTTGATGTAAAAATAAAAAAATGCTTCCAGGGCATTGACTGTTTAATTAGGCAAACAAAAATATTGTGAAGGGTGCCAGTGGCTCAACCTGTAATCCCAGCTACTCAGAAGGCAGTGATCAGGAGGATCAAGGTTTGAAGACAACCCAGGCAAGTAGTTTGTGAGACCCATTTGGAAAAACCCATCACATAAAAAAAAGGGCTGGTGGAGTGGCTCAAGGTGTAAGCCCTGAGTTCAAACCCCAGTACCACAAACAACAACAACAACAAAACCTGTAAAGAATGAGTAGATTTACATGAGTAAACTTTGTCAGAATATTGGTGTTATTAAAGAATTAAAAAATAATATTTTGTTGTCAATGTAGAATTCTTATTAGGGAATAGTGATCAGAGGGTAGTTTTCACAACTTCCTGTTTTAAAACAGGGGAAACTGGAGGCATCACAATGGTCAGCACAGCCGTTCCATCCTTGCCTCAGAAAGTCTTTCTCCTGCTCTGATTTGCTATCATCAATGGTTGTCTCTGAAATCTGTGTGATGGCTTTGTAAATCAGACTTTATTTTTTCATAAAACCTCAGAAATGTCTGCTTGTGTCCAATTAACTTATAAACATTTTTGATAAGGATTTATGAAATGTGTAAGTCCTGGGAATTTAGATCTGATTCAGGGAAATTTATTTTAAATTGTGTCCCTCTTCCTAAATCTCCTTTCCATGCTGTACTTTTTGTAAGGGACTTACAGTGTATACTATGTATACCCCACGATTGAAGAATGGACAGTTAGAATATGGAGTATACATAAATTATTTGTAATTATTCTTCACAGGAAGCTTGTCTATTCTGCATTTATTTAAATATCTATTCAATCATTTATTTATATCAGTGCAGTCCATAGGTATTTATCTAATACTTTGGGTAATACTCCAATACTATATTGCTAATTTTCCTGCTCTAACTGTTCTAGCTTTGTCCACGGAAATTCTTTCAGTTGGTTGCTGTGTCCTTTGATTTGTCTCATCACTGTGAGATTTTTGCTATTTTTTAAGTGGGTAACAACATTTTTACTTTCTGGCACTGGAAGATTTTCCAGGGTCACCTTGTATATTCCTGGCTCAGTACTAGAATCCATTATTTCTCCATGAAGCTTTCATTCTTTTTATTGGAGAATGGTACTAGAAACCAAGATTGTGGTGCTAGCTCTGCTCACTGTTGTAGGAGTGCTGTTGCTTCTTAGGTCTTCCCAGATGGCAGAACAAGGGAATGTCTGTTTGTATTAAGGGTTCAAGTGATTTTGTCTAGGCTCAGATTTTTCTCTTTCTTTCACTGATGTCCATGTTGATTCAGTTCTTAGGAATTTTCTTTATACTTCGATGGTGGCTCTAGCATGTCATAACTTACATCCCAAGGGACAGTACGAGCCTCTTATCAGGACTACCCAACAGATTCCTACCATATCTAATTTGATTCCTTGAAAAACACATGAAAATTCTAGAAGTTTTCAGGGTAGCTAAGAGAAATGAGAAGTTCTTTTAGGTTAAGCCTGGACTGTATGCTTCTCACCAGAGACAGTGGATGGACTCTGCTTGAACCAACCAAGAAAATGGGAGAAGTAGATTTTCAAGTGGATGTTAGTGGAAAAGGAAAAAATATACAGTGTATTCTTGGAAAAATGATAATTTTTCTACCACAATTACTATGGCTTCTATGAATTCAGAAATTCTAAGACTGACTACCACTTACTGTGACATTTTGAAAGAAAATAAGGTAGTTACTTTTATAAAAAGATGGAACAGAAAATGGTTTAGGCTATATTAGTAGCAAATGAATGCTCATAACTTCAATAGTACTTTGCTATATATTTGCATATGAGTATTTTCTGTCTTTGAAACTACAAATGCAGAGAGTACATCCATTGTCAGATTTTCTTCTGGTTTGCTTTTAAAAATAATTTCACTTTTACATAAATGGAGCAGTTAGGCTGGGAGAAGATTAAATTTGTTGTCCGTTGTGATTGTTGCTTTATTTCTCCCCCAGTTTCCATTGGTTTTCTTTATTTACTTCTTTTAGGAACAAATTCAAAGGGAAAGTACATAGTTTGCAACTCATTCATCACTATGTTAAGGCACTTTCTTTTCTTCCCCAACTTTAAGGAAGTTTGTAAAATGTACAAGAAAGTAAAGACTGTAAGATATGAATGCATCGTAACTCAAACCACTGCTGTGATCTCAAGTTTTTGTTTTCTCCTAGTTACTTTTTCACACCCTTTCTTAATTAAAGACACAACTAACAGAATAAGAATTCCAGTAATATGACTATTCTCAAATTTATTCCTTGCAAAAGACATAAAACTTCTAAGATAATAGCAGTCATCACAAAAGTTTGCATCCTGTTTTTCATCTGAAGGCAATTATACTGGTTCTGTTCATATGCTTTTAAAAATATTGCTCATCTTTTTTGGAGATCAAAAGGTTTATAAAATAAAATGTGAAAGTTTCTTTTAACTTGAATTTTTAAAAGCACTGGTGGTTAGGTTTCTATGAAATTTATTTTAAATTGTAGCCAAACCACAAATATTTGGGTGATTTTTATTCTCTCCCCCTCCCCCCATTGGCAGTGCTGGGGTTTGAACTCAGGGTTTTCTGCTTAGCTAGGCAGGGACTCTACTGCTTGAGCCATGCTCCCACCCCAGTTTCTTCCTTTTTTTTAGGGGGGTGACTTTTAAGCTTGATATCCTTTATATGGGCATGAAAATTGGTAACAACACAAATCTTGGTGGTTTGGAGCCTTTACAGAGTTAGACTTTTCTGTTTGGGAGTGTAGTTAGTGATACATCTTTACATTAGAAGACTTTTTATTTTGAGTCCTTTTGACAAGAATCCTTCCCACTTCTTATGCAGTGGATACTGGTCATTATTTATTTTTAGGACTTTATTAAACTATTTCCATTTTAAAAGTACTTAATGTTTCTAAGCATATTTAAGTTTTATCTTATAAGTTCTTTATAAATATAATATCCACTTTGGGATTGGAATATTAAAATAGAATATTTACAGCAAAAATTTATTCACATTACTTTTTTGGAAACATCTGATCTACAAGATGTTATGATAGTGCTTTTCGCATATTTTATTTCATTTAGTCTTTATATTTTGTAATGTAGTTATTAAAATCTTTTTAGAGCATAGGAAACTAAAATTCAGAGAGATTAAATTATTTAAAGTAATAATGAAGGGCTAGGATAAAACCTATTTGTAGAAGATGACATATCTAAAAACTAAGAAGAACCCTTGTAACAGACCAAAAAAAGTCAAAGTAAATATTAATTATTCTGAACGACCCTCCTCTGCAGTTTCCTCATGCATCTGCCTGTCTTGCTGAGTATGCCAAAAATACAAGGCCCAGACAATTCCTTACCCAGGTCATTTGTCAAGGATAGGTTTATAGGGAACAACCTTCAAGGATGAGGCAATGCCTCCTTCTGAAATAAAGAGACTTTCTATAAAAGCAGTAGATTCCCTAGCTTCAGAATTCCTCTCCTGTATTTTCAGCCCTCTGTAATTGTTCCTTGCATTTAACAAACAATCAGAATATGCTTGATGTGAGAAGTCAAGTACAAAGAGTAGGTTAGTAAAAGAATAAATATCAGGAAGGACCTTTCCAACAATTAGGTGTAAATGTGATCCTTTATTATTCTATGGAAAATAAAGCAATCAAATTTAACAGAAATAGCTAATATTTCTTAGTGCTATTATGTTTCTATGAAGTTCTTAATGCTTTATTTGTTTTGAGGGAGGTAATATGATCGTCCTCATTTTACAGAGGACGAAACTGAGGTCTAGAGGCGTTAAAGTAGTCTGCCCAAGGTTTCACAGCTACTCAGTCGTGTAACCAGGCAGCTTCTTTGGCTCCAGCATGCAGGTTCCCAATCACCTCCTTTAAAAGTCACCAGTACTTTTTGGCAATAAATGGAAAGATTTTTATAGAGACACTTTTTAGCACCAAGTATTCATCGAGAAATGTCGAATATAAAAAAGAACTTGCCTTGAAAAGGGCCCTGCTGATGCTTCTGATACACAAAATACACAATATACACACGATATAAACCTGTCATAGCAATAGGACTACCCAGGATTGGACAAATACCTATTAATACACATTACATAGGTCCATTTTTATATCACAGTTTTTATGGAAGTGACTTTACCTTGCAAAAATCGATGCTACAAAGTGATGCTGCTGGGACTATTTCAAGTCCCTATGTATGAAACCAAAGTCAAAACAGATGTCCAGAAAAATGCATTAAAGATTGTCAAGAAAGGGATTGACTTAGGTGACCACCCCTAATCATTGCTAAGCGTCTGAGGAGCATTTGGTAGCTTTCCTGGTCTAGCCTGTCAATTTCCTAATTCTAGAACTTTTTTTTTTTTCCACCCTTCCTCCAGGCACGGAGTATTTTTCTCTTTTCTAGGAATTTTCCCTGGGAACACTTGGGACTCTCTGAACATCTAAAATTCGGGGACTGATAATGGGCATGTAAGAACAAAGAAATGGCAATTTACCAAAGAAACGAGAGTGTCAAAGTGGAAGAAAACCAAGCGGCCCGCTGCTGCTGGCTTCCGGTCCACTCCAGCAGCTGCGTCCAGATTTACAGCAACTAGGCAACGGTTGCTGTGGCAACCGAGGAACGCGGAGGGCCCTGGTCAGCTTGGATGCCGGCCTCGGGAAGGAGAAGGGGTGCCGGGATATCGCGAGAGCTGCGTGGGCCGTCGAGACGACCAAGGGGCTGCCAGGTCCCCAGTACCTCAGATGGCCGTTCAGGAGGGGACACGCAGCTCTACGCTGCGGGTCCTGGAGGAGGCCTTGGGTCTGACGACCACCGGGGACACGACGGACGCGGTGGCCACCGAGGGCGCCTACTACCTGGAGCGTATCCTTCCCGCGGAGCGCGGCCTGCGGGGTCCGCCGTGGTGGTCTCGGGCTGGGGCGGCCTCAGGGCTCTGTGGGGGCTCCGTCCAGCTGGCCGCTGGCCGTTGGGCCCCCAGGGGGACCCTTGCCACCGCAGTCCCCGCATAGCTCCCTCGACCCCGAATTCTCCTTTTAGGAGCCTTGGTTCAGGAGTTCATCTTGGAAGAGTTGGGAGACCTTCCAGGAACTCGTACTCAGTTAACAGTTCCTTTGGGATCGAAGGTTGCTGTTTATGTTAAGACCACGCAACAAAGTGATTCAGACCTCCTCACACTTAGTCGTTTTCTTAAAAAAGTCCTCCACCTTTCCGAATACCTTCGCAATACATTCAGTGGAGAACGTTGGGAGGCCAAGGAAAGACCTTTGTCATTGTCATTGGGCTCAGACTCCATCTCCCAGCTGTCAAGTGATAAGATTTGGTTTGTCTCAGCAGCATTACCTTGCTGGGTAGTTTCAATTCTGACTATTAAATACCACTACTACTACTAATGACTAAATGATAATAATTTTTTTTCTTGCGCTACGGAATGACCTGATGAGCTGACAAGTAGTGTTAGGAAGAAAGCAGATAGTGATGAGTGGATGTTAATGGAAGTACTAGAAACATCAATATCCGTATGTGGATAATTAGGTTCACTGTTTCTTTGTAAGACTTTAGAGGTCCCCTCTCTAGGTATATAGAGTAATTATACAGGAGAGATTGGGAAGGTTTCTTAACCGATTTTATTCCTAAATATGTCAGTGAAACTCCCAAATCTCCCTGATTTCTTGTCCAATTATAATCCTCCTCCACTTTTCGCTCAAGATTACAGAGCTCCAGCAATGATTCATTTTGTGAGCTTTGGCAAGCCGATTACCCTGCCCCTGCTCAGATCCATGTTTTAGGAAGGCTTGAAGAATTTAGTGGCAATGTTACAGAAGCTATGTCCTGTTTTATTGGATGCAAAAAATGATTTTTATAGGAATGTAAGTGAATAGTTTGAAATAATTTTGAATGAAGTATATGGTACTTTAGTGTTATAAATGAGGGTCTCTATCATTTCCAGTAATACTCCTTTTTAATTCTTTCTGAACTCATCAACATCAAGTATAAAGTTGTGTAGTGTTGCTAGTGAGTGACAGCCAAGTGTCTTGTCATTTTGTTTGCATTAAAAGATTTCTATGGATCATTTTGTTGTCAACATGACACTAATACAGGGTTACAACTTTTTGCAAGCATCTTTGTGAAATATATGGTAGGATTGCAGCATAATAAAACTTTCAACAATGAAAGTCAGGTTTCCTTAATTTGCAGGGAGATCACTGAACCAAAACTACCAACATGTAGCACTTTGCACACCTGTCTTACAAAGACTACTTCAAATAATCACATCTACAAATGTAAGCAATTTTAACTTTTCAGGATTTTATTACCCAGTTTGTGAATTATTTAGCCCCTTGGCTTTTCTTTCATTTCTTTTTTGGTTGACTAATTACTATTTTGTGTTTCAATCAAAGGATTGTCAGGGGATAGCAAAGTTAAACATTTAACCAGTCAATTTTTCTATATTCAATGTTCAGGAAAGATGTTTAGCCACAGGAGAGGCTTTAACTCTTAGTTTAAATGAAGTTTGAGGATTACTTGTGAGCACCAATTATCTCTGTATCCTGACCTCTCTTCACATGCATAATTAAGAGTTGATGGTATAACGTTTTTTGACATTGTTTCTTAAAGCAATTATGATAGTTGCGGAAGTGAGACTTCCTTGGGTTAAAAGTCTTTGGCACTCAGGTAATTTGATTGAACTACTTTGGTGGATAAATAGAAGTTATAATATGGACAAATGAATTAGAAATCTGACATCCTCTACTTTTCACATCTACTTATCACCTTTAATCTACTTCATTTGGCCCCTAAGTTATGACTGATTTGATACTCTAGTACATGAGACAATGAGATATCAGTATTGGGCAAAGCCTTCAAAGGTTGACCTGAATTCTCCAGGAAATCACCCAGTTTTCTGCTCTTAAACATTCAGGCATAAGTGACATTGATAGACAAGTGTGACCCAAACAAGATGCAGCCAAGGTTCATCATAGGGGAGTGCTTTCATTAATGAAGGCCTCGCTATCTTGTAATGGCCCAGAGCATGCTCAGGAAAAAGCAACACCCCTTCCTTGCAACTGCCTCGGTTTAACAGTGGCATCTGTTTCTCTTCTGAAGAACTTCACTATATCATTGCTTTCATGTTTTAAACTTCCCCAAGGTTAGATACAACATACATGTCATGATTCTTACCTTAGCTTTCACAAGAGCTTTAAAAAAATCTAGTTACAGTGTACATGAATCCCCCATAGAATTCTTCATGGGAAAATATCTGAAATATTATAAAATATAAGGCTAGATTTTTAAAAAATTAATTTTTGAATTAGCACACATTAATAATATAAGGAAATTTAAATGTGATAATTCCATACATGCATAAAGTGTACTTTGAACAAGCTTATGTACAAGCCAGGTAAGTGTAGTACTTGGAAAGAAGGATGGTTGTCTTTTTGGGAATGAATCCTCTGTTAGAAGTCAACACAACTTGAGTGTGGTTTTCAGTTGTACTAGTGACTAGGGCTGATGATTCAGGTGCAGCTATAGATAAGTGGAGTGCCCAATTCCAGTTGGCAGATGTAGGCTGAGATTGATCTGTAATAAGAAAGCTAGAGGTTAATTGATTTTGTTGTTATGTGTCTAAAGAAGGACCTTGTTGAAGAAAGAATCATGGAATGACGGGGCTGTAGGAAAGTACAGTTCTCAAGGGATTGTTTTGTTACTTACCTCCCTTTACTCTGACTCTGTTCCCCTAAGCTGGCTTTGATTATTTCATCTTTCTATGCATTCTAACACTGCGAATCTGGCTTCTTAGATTGTGGATGTAAGATTGATGGCCACTTCAAAAGTCTGTTCTGTCCCCAACAGTAATTTCTCAAGGGTGAGCAAGTTTAAGCCAGTCTTTTGAGGGTAATCAGCTATGGATGCATGCTAAAGTCCGCAGCTGCAAAATTAAGGATTCCAAACCCTGAAATAGGGCGATAACAGATAGACTTATGCCCTATCTCAGATGCACATTTTTCTTCTTAAGTGAAAATTCTAGCCATCTCACTGCAGTAGTAATGTTCACTGATAATTTTAATTGAAATTGAACTTTTATTATTTTTGCTTTTTATAATTTTGTTTTTTAAAAATATTTTATTTTATGAAAATAAACATTGTAATTGAATAAGTGAAAAAAAATAGGAAACTAATATAATGGCTTTATAGGTTTCCTTCCTTTCTTCTTTCCTTCCTTCCTTCCTCCCTCCCTCCCTTCCTTCTTTCCTTCCTCATTCTTTAATAATTCCTTAGATATGCTCTTTTTCTTCTGTTATAAATTGTGCCTCTCTGAAATTTTAATACTATTAAGTGAAAAGATATTTTTTAAATTCTTAATAATCACTATGTACTGAAATAGTATATTTTGTTATCATTGAAAACTTAATTTGTCCATAAGTTCTTAGATATTAGACTATATGTCTCCTACATATATTCAAAAGGATAGACAACCTGAATGTAGAGTCTAGATCATGAACCATGTTACCAAATCCAGAGTGTTGAATATTACATCTTTGAAAGTTGTAGACTATTTAGAGAGAAGAAGTTGAGTTTTGTTCTGTGTCTTCCAGTCTAGGCTAACTTTAATGTGCATATGAATTACCTATGGATCTTTAAATGAAGCTTATAGTGCAGTTAATTTAGGTGAGGACTGAGTTTCAGCATTGCTAACAAGCTCCAGATGCTGCTGGTCTAAGGACTATAAATGGAGTAATAAGGTTGTGGACAAAACTTCTTGCTTTTATTTTTTCAGATGGAGCTGGGCGTGGTGGTACATACCTGTATTCCCACCACTTGGGATGCTGAGGCAGGAGGAGCATTGGTTCAAAGCTAGTCTGAGCTTCTTAGCGAATTTGAAGCCATTTTGAACAACATAGCAAGACCCTGTTTCAAAAACAACTAAACAAAATATATTTTCAGTTAGAAATATAATATGTACAGCCCACCTTTGGATCTCCTGGCTTAGAAGTTGGAAAGATTTATACCACTACCCACCATTAGAAAGAGCTATGAGTCTTACGTATTGAAAGAAAGGTATTTTCCAGCTTCTGAGATAAAAGATATGTGACAGCTGTCTAGGACAGGATTGGCCAGAACATTTTTACTCTTTACAATTCTGTTGAATTGGCACTGGCTCCACAGGATATGGCACTAATAAGAATTCTGAGACCTCATGAAGACTCAGTGGTAAAGACTACAGGGAGCAAACAGCAATGAGGAATGTATTATTCCTTTGGACTGTATTATTCAGTTAACTTTCCTAAGAAAGGGAAGATAACTGTAATGTTTGCTACTTGTAGTACTTTTTCAGTTTGGAAAGTAGACAATCTAGACTTTAGATTGTCTCTGAACATTGGCTCTGAAGTCATAGCAAACATTGCAAAGTGACTTCTGTCTGTAGTATCTCTGGGAAAATTATGTAAAATATAATTAGCTGTGTTTCACTTTAGTTCTTAATAATGATGCTGCTGCTGGCTATGATCAGACCTACAAATGCATCACAGAAGAAACCAGTATACGGAGCTTTATACACTGCTCACTTCCCAAAATTTTTCATTGGTTTCTGGCTCTAGTCCTTGTGCAGAACATTGTTTGTGACCTCATCATACCAGCGGTCACCTCAGGCTCTGTTCTATCTGTTCAGCTGATTGCATCTCTGAGCCAAAGAGTTGCTGTGAAGGTTTCAATGTAGGTGTTACATAGTCTGATTTTGTGGTAGGATCTACAATGTCAGGATCTACTATAGATTTGGCTAGTGCAGAAAGTATCTGTTAGTTCACCCATGGTGATTATGTTTCAGGGGAATAACAGCTGTGGGTTGTGGCTTCAGAGCAGGCAGC